GCCCATCCCATGAGGACAGCATAAACTGGCCTGCCTCCGTCGGTCCTTTACCTTGCCCCATCTTCTGCCGCACATGTGTCCCAGGTCTCCACCCTCCCCATGCCACGCCCCACCCGGCCCCTCCTTGCATCATCATTCCTTTATTTCTCTGCTTTTGGGAAATAAGTAGCCTCTTGGAACCTTCTCTGCCTTCCTGCTTCACCCACTGCTCTGCTGACTCCAGGGCAGTTCTGCAGAGATAGCACTGTCCTGTCCTCCAGCCACCCGCCCTGTCCTCCTGCCTGGACTGTTCTTATCCTGACCTGTTTCCTGGCCCTGGGCACTCCTGTCCCTGAGCTCCCTCACGAGCTCAGTGCTGGGAGGGTTTCTAGCCACTCGCCTTCTGCCCCATGTTTTTCCCTGAGAAGTGACAGATATGCCACCCAGACTGCCACTGCCACTCTGGGGGCCCCATGCCACCTCAGTGCACACCCGCAGAAGCCTTACCCATTTATACTCCATGTGCCCATGGGAGGATATGGGGACAGTCCGCCTTATCCTGCCAGCCTCAGGTCCCCAGTGCCAGGCACACCCGGCACATTTCCTCTGCTTCCTGAAACTTGGGGCCTGAGCTGGGGTTTTCTGTATGCATGGGGTGACAATGCTGAGTGAGGCCCCATGTATAAGACCCTGAGCCCACAGCAGTCCTGGCCTGATCTTTGAGAACAGTGGGGTTTTCACAGGTCCCATGTCTGTCCATCCACATGCCACCCCAGGAAAGAAGGGTTATTTTACAAGGAGACCAGGGTGACAGGCCTTGTTCTGAAGGTCCCCAGCCTGTATTCTTTCCCTCCTCCACCGCTGTCCGTCTGTCCCTTGGGCCCAAGTGCCAGCACAGGTCTCGTGGGGAGCCTAGCCCTCGTCCCAGCTGGGTTGGGGGCCCATTCCCTGAGAAGGCAGAGGGTGCTGTGGCTGGAGCCGCGATGGTAACGGGCGCGTGGCCGGGTCCCGCCCCAGGGCCCTGACGCGCGGAAGGTCTCTCCCTCACAGCCAGCGCAAGCAGGCCAGGGAGCTGCTGGCCGCCCTGCAGAAGGTCGTGGTGCCCATCTACTGCACCAGCTTCTTGGCCGTGGAGGAGGATAAGCAGCAAAAGATCGCCCGGGTAAGTGGTGTGGCCGGAAGGGGGCGGGGGAGGTGGTTAGGAGCTAGGGGACACTTTTCTCCTGACACAGCCTCTTGTCCTCCCCATGTCCAGCTTCTGCAGCTATGGGAGAAGAATGGCTACTTCGATGACTCCATCATCCAGCAGTTGCAGAGCCCGGCCCTGGGGCTTGGCCAGTACCAGGTAAGTGCTGCCACCTCCTAAACCTGGGGCCTCACTTCCTCTGCCTGGGCTGGGAGCTGCCAGTGGGCAGTGACTTCAGAGTCCAGGTGGCATTTTCTAAACAGAGCTCCCAGATGTTCCTCTGGGATCTTGGCGAGCATTGGGGGCCAGGGTCTGAGCAGCGGCTTTGGGGGCCCCGTCACATGCATAGTGAGGGGTGAGCCTTCCCAGGTGAAACTTTTCCTAGCACACTTGTGACCCAGTTGCCTGATTTAGGCCCTGCTCTCAGGGTGTCATTGGTCCGTTTGGTCCCCCAAGCATGGGATCATGGGATCCCATGGGATCATGAAGAGACCCTGATGTAGTCTAGGCTGCTGTAGCCATCACCCAGTGCAGTCAGCGCTCCCCATGCATGTCTGCTTCTACTCTGAGGGTGTGTCTGCCCAGAGGATAGGCACAGGGCAGGGAGGGTCTCTGTGGTCTCATCTGCTGTGGCCCCAGCACCACATCATCATGCACAGCTGATGGAATAAAAAGCACAGCTCATACTCCTTTTGAGGCTGGCAGCCCTGGCTGAATGTCAGGCACTGTGTACAGGCCACCTCCTTCAGTGAAGGTCCTAAGCACCATCCTCCCCCCAGGGAGCATGCTCTCATGCTCAGAAACAAACGAAAGTGCATTCATACTTTCTCTAGACCTTACCCAGTTTTATATGTGTTAAATAAAAGTGGATGCGTACCGCCATACCACAGTGACGCCAACTGCTGAGTTTGTAATAGTGACTCATGTTTACTGAGCCCCTGCCGCACAAGTCCCTTTTACTTGTCATTTCACTGGCTTCTCCTGCAAAACCTCAGAGGTTAGTTCTTATGATGTCCCATTTTACAGATGAGAATACTGAGGCTCAGGGAGGTGGTGACTTGCTCAAAGCCAGGCAGTGAGTAAGCACAGTCCATGAGTGTGTCCCAGCCATGTTTAAAGTCCATGCGTGGCTGTCCAGGGCACGCTGTCATTGCCTGACGTCAATATCAGGGAAATTCTGAACTTCACACTACATCACCGAGTTTCCAGTTAGATTCAGATGCTCTGGTTGTCAGGATCAAGCTGTTTTACATTATAGTCGCCTGCCTGCTCCAGGCCTCTGGGCCTCACTGCCGTGGCAGCACCCCAGCTTCCTGGTGTTTTCCCAGTATTTGTCCCTGTGCTGCTCCAGAAAAGGTGGGCCACGAGGCACTCGCGCTGAGTGCCGGCCGCCCTTCTCTGTCTGTCAGGCAACGCTTATCAGTGAGTACTCCTCAGTGGTGCAGCCAGTACAGCTGGCCTTCCAGCAGCAGATCCAGACCCTCAAGACGCAGCACGAGGAGTTCGTCAACAGCCTGGCCCAGCAGCAGCAACAGCAGCAGCAGCAGCAGCAGCAGCAAATTCAGATGCCGCAAATGGAAGCTGAAGTCAAGGCCACGCCACCACCCCCTGCCCCGCCGCCGGCCCCAGCGCCCACCCCAGCCATCCCGCCAACTACCCAACCTGGTACGTGGTCCCCTCAGCACCCGCCCTTGAGAGGCGGCCCCAGAAAGCAGCCCCCTCCCAGAAAAAGGGCTTTGGTTTCTGGTTTCGTAGTCCCAGGCCAAATTCTTTTTGGTTTAAGGCTCCAGGCCATGAGATTTCACAGGTAAATAAAACAAAACCCTTACAAGCCTTAAAAGTCAGACAGTTCTGTACAGACCACCCCAGAGAACAAGGAGAGAGGAAAGCTGCCCAAATCATTTTTCGAGACCAGGCTATCTTTCACACCAATGGGCAAGGACAGGGGAAGAATTAAAAATGTAATCCAGTATCACTTCTGAACAAAGATGTAGAAGTACTTAATAAGATCTTAAAATGTGAAATTCAGCCCAGTATTTTAAAAATGTATCATGACCGAAAAGGACATTTCCCAGGACTATGTAAGGATGGCTCAACACTAAAAAAATCGAATAAAATAACAGATCATATGGGAAGAAGAGATTTTTCAACTAGATACGTTAAAGGTATTTACTAAAATTCAGCAGTGATAAAATTCCTTAGCAAACTACAGTCAACATAGTGGAAGTAAGATACTGTAAGTTTTTAGACAAGAAGTGTGTCTTGTGAAAGGGCAGTCTCCGCCTTCCCGCTGCCTTCACAGCGGCGATCAGTTTTCAGTGAGATCATGAAGCAAGGATTTATCGGGAAATAAAGCCCAGCCTGGCTGCCCGGGTGTTTGGTGAAGACCGTTCTGGGCAGTGCCTCCTGCTGCCGGGGCCTCCATTAACTGCCTTCTTGCCTGGCTCCAGATGACAGCAAGCCTCCCATCCAGATGCCTGGCTCCTCTGAGTACGACGCCTCGGGGAGCGTCCAGGACCCTGCCACAGCTGGCCCTCGGGGTCCTGGGCCCCACGACCAGATCCCACCTAACAAGCCCCCATGGTTTGATCAGCCTCACCCCGTTGCTCCTTGGGGCCAACAGCAGGTATTTTTCGTGGGGGTTAGTGGGTGGCTTCTGCAGGTTGGGGGGGCTTTTAGCAGCTTGCTGGGAGACATGTCTGCAGTGGGGTCAAAGCTGGAGGACTGGGTGTGATGGCCTGGTCTTACTGAGGTGCAGGGGTTGGGTGGAGTGAGAAAGGCAGGACTTGACCTCCACCCCCGGGCTTCGATCAGTAACAGAGGTCCCCATGTGAGTGCCAGGAAATTCACACAGTTAAGTACAGCAGTATGTTCTCTTTTTTTCCTTTTTTTGACTGGTTTGACTAGCAAAATGTCAACACCTTGTACCCTGGAAAGAACATGGCACTCTTCTAAGGAAAGAGAAGGTCAGAAATGTCAGGTTGGCAGCGTTTTCTGGGGCTGAGACACTGGTCATTTCTGCCCGTTTTCTTGAGGTCAGAAACTTCTAGACCAGGGTAGGGGGCATCTCATCCAGCATAGCGTGACTGGGAGGCTCACCAAGCGTCTGCCCCGGGTCAGCAGTCCGCAGTCGGAAGCTGTGGCCTGGCCAGGCCGTGTAGTGTCTTACATGTTTTGAAATAGTTGGCACATTTAAAGTCTGGCTTCCTGGCCTCTCTTGAAAGACCCGAGGGTCTGGTGGCCTGGGCCGGCTTCCTGGTGATAGCGGTCAGCAGAGTTAGCCAACTGTGACCCTAGGGATAGGCCCTCTGGGTGGCCTTCGCTGGGCATGTCCTTTCTCAGCCCTGAGTGGGTTGCAGTCCCGGCTTTAGGTCTTCAAAGCAGCAGCTGGGTGAGATTGAAATCGACTTTAACCCACAGAAACGTGTTTTCTGGGGTGGGCCCAGCAGCAGACCCTGAGACAGAATGAAAGGACAAGTAGTTTTTGTGGGAGATGACCCAGAGGACAGTGCAGGGGAGAGAAGTGACAGAAGGGCCACATCAGGGTGGGTGGCCACCATGGGCCCCTGGAGCTCAGCTACTCCCCACGTACTCTGGAAGCAGTGGTGGAGGCACCTCTGTAGCATCCACCAAGGGGCAGGGGGTGTTCGGATTCCCGGCATGGGGCACCTGCGTGCTGACCCATAGGAAGCCATTGGCCAAGATGCAGGTGCAGCAGTTGGAAGTTGGGTTATCTGCACAGGTATGAGAGGCCAGTGGTGGGGCCAGAACAGGTCAGTAAACGAGGCACCATGGCCTGCCCAGGGTAGCATCAGCCTGCAGTACTGGGCAGTGCAGAGGCCGATATCTGCGGGGTGCTGGATGGGCCTCATGAGCCGCTCGTGTCTGCTCTTTGTCTTGCAGCCTCCCGAGCAGCCGCCTTACCCGCACCACCAGGGTGGGCCACCCCACTGCCCACCCTGGAACAACAGCCATGAGGGCATGTGGGGTGAACAGCGTGGGGACCCTGGCTGGAACGGCCAGCGTGACGCGCCCTGGAACAGCCAGCCTGACCCCAACTGGAACAGCCAGTTTGAGGGCCCCTGGAATAGCCAGCATGAGCAGCCACCTTGGGGTGGTGGCCAGCGCGAGCCGCCCTTCCGCATGCAGCGGCCACCGCACTTCCGCGGGCCCTTTCCACCCCACCAGCAGCACCCACAGTTCAACCAGCCACCACATCCCCACAATTTCAACCGCTTCCCACCCCGCTTCATGCAGGATGACTTTCCCCCGAGGCACCCCTTTGAGCGGCCGCCTTATCCTCACCGCTTCGACTACCCCCAGGGCGACTTCCCTACTGGTGAGTGCATCATGCCCTTGGAGGGGACAGTCAGCAGTCCAGTACACACAGCCCTCTCCTTCCCCTGGTACCCAGAGAAGTCCAGGTCACCTGCCTGGAGGAGGCACCTGACAGATTGGCCTCCTAAGCTGGCTGATGGCGCTGCTGGTGGTCCTTGGTGTGCATGTGATGTGTTCTAAGTCTAGGTCACAGCCAGAGTCATGGGATGACAGAGAAGCCCAGCTTGGGTTCTTGGGGAGATGGGGAGACAGGAGAACAGGCTGGCAACTTAGTTTTCAGCACCAACCACGCATTAAGCTGTAGAGGTGTGACACCCTGGTCCCTCTTCCCACATACCCAGGAATAGGGCATCATCGTGTGTCTGTCCTACAGATGAGGGAAGACAGCCTCCAGAAGGAGAAAGAAGCCCCAGGGCAGCAGGCAGTCAGCAGGCGCTGAGTCGAGGGCCCACACCGCTGTCAGGGTCCTCTGTTCCTTCTTGCAGTTTTCATCAGCTTCTTTACTGTTTTGTTTTGTTTTTTCCAAAGAACCTTTAGTTTTGTCGATTTTCTCTGTTTTAAAATTTTCATTCCTACTCTTACTGCTTCTACCTTTATTTTTAAATCCACCTTTAGCTATAAATTTAGCTCAGAGACTACTTAGCACAGTTATTGCTCATGTTAGGATCCTGGGGTAGTTGTGGCAGAGTCCCACAGACTGGGCGGCTCCAGCAACCGACATTTACTGTCTCCCATTTGGGAATTCTGAGGTCAAGGTGTCGGCAGGGTTAGTTTTTTTGAGGCCTGCCTCCTGGGCTTGTAGATGGCCACTTTCTCCCTGCATCCTCACATGATCTTCTGTGTGTCTACATCCTAATTCCCTCTTCTTATAAGGACTCTAGTCGTCATACTGGATTGGGGCTCACCCATATGATTTCATTATGTTACTTCTTTAAAGGCCCTGATATCTAAATGCAGTCACATTCGGAGGTCTTGGGGGTTAGGACAGGGGTGACTTTGTGAGGGGATACAGTTCAGCCCATAACGTTGTTTGAGGGGTCTGATTTCCCTGCAGTTCCTCTCACTCACGAGGTCCATCAGGTTCTGTTGTGGGTGCAGGACAGGACCCTCTGAGCCTCAGCTTCTCCCCCCCTCGCCACATCACCTGAGCAAAGTGGTGTGAGAGAAGGTGCTGAGCAGAACTGCCCTGAGAGTGGGTGTTGATGTCCTTGCCCCTGAGCCCCTTTCTGCTGATACTTGTCACGTGGGAGATCACATCTGAGCCCTTGATACCACCCAGCTCATGACTTCCCTGCAGGCCTGAGACAAGTTCCTGTTTTGCAGAAATGGGACCCCCTCATCACCACCCTGGCCACCGCATGCCGCATCCTGGGATCAACGAGCACCCGCCCTGGGGGGGGCCCCAGCACCCTGACTTTGGCCCTCCCCCCCACGGCTTCAATGGGCAGCCCCCCCACATGCGACGACAGGGCCCTCCCCACATCAACCATGATGACCCCAGCCTTGTCCCCAATGTGCCCTACTTTGATCTCCCCGCCGGGCTGATGGCCCCCCTTGTGAAGGTAAGGTCTGCGGAGAGCTCGGGCCAGTGCCTCTTTCTCCATGTGAACAGTTCACAGATGGAACCCATTTCCCATAGATTAAAATAACTGCTTCCCCAGGCCCCTTCCCCTCATTTCCTCCTTCCCAGTGAACTTGACCAAGCCAGTCAGTGAGAATGATCCTGAGCCAGTGTGCCCCTCACAGACTCATGTGTTTGCGTTCCTGAAGCGGCAGCAGGAGGGGCCCACAGCCTCTTGCTCCCTCTGTACCTCCCTCCTGGTTCTGCAGGTTTAGTACCACTTGGGGCAGGCTGGACTGGGCACGAGGTACGGGTCCTCAGTACTGGCCTTGGAAGCCACCTTGTCCAGGGGCTGATGACAGAATGATATTTCAGGACAGGGACGGTCTCAGCTGTGTCTGTGGAGAATGTGGGACTCTGCAGGCCGGGGAGGGGGACATGTGCGGGGTGAGGTGAACGAGGAGCCAGGGCTGGGGCTCCAAGGGCCCTGCTGATTACTGCCCCTTCTCATGCGCTCTGAGCTACCATAGACTGGCCATGGAGATGGGTCTGCCAGTGTGTCAGGGAGCTGGAGGCAGAGGGGCCAATGGGATGAGCTGGTTTTTGGGTCAGGCTAAGGTTGCTGTGACTGCTGAAGGGCCTGCAAGGGAGGTGATGGGGCCCCGAGTCAGAGTTGGGGGCATAGGGCAGTGCCTCTAGACAGGGAATCTGGGATCCACAGTGTGTCTCAATGAACCAGGGGCTCTTTCCGTCACCTAAGCTTGCAGGCTGCATCTTCTGTGTACATTTTCTGAAGAACTCTTTGGCTTTCATGGGCCTCAAAAGAACCCTCAACCATCCTATTTAGAATGTGGCTGAGCTCTACCAGAGGTGGGCCTTCCAAGAAGGGCAGGGTGAGCCTGGACACCAACCCAGGCTCCTGTCTCCTGCCCCCGCAGCACCCTGGGTGGGCCTTACAGGGGCCCTGGCAAGGTACGGTGACAACTGTATTCTCCACTGTAGCTGGAAGACCATGAGTACAAACCTTTGGACCCTAAAGACATCCGCCTTCCGCCCCCCATGCCACCCAGCGAGAGGCTATTGGCGGCTGTGGAGGCCTTTTACAGCCCGCCCTCCCACGACAGGCCCAGGAACAGGTACTAGACTCAGGGAGGTCTGGCTGTGGGGCCAGTGATGGGAGGGGAGCCTCTGTCCCGCCTCGTGTCTTGTCTTCCTACGAGTTTGCTTCACAAGAAAGACTCCTACCAGCCATACCTTCTGCCCAGAGTGAGGCCCAGGGGAGGAGTGTGGTGTCTCTAAGAGAAATCGCCAGTCTGCGTTAGAGGGTTTATTTCTTCCCGGGCTATGGCTAATGCATGTCACATTGTGGCCCTCGATGAAGGGCTTTTCTTAGACGTGGCGTATTATAGAGGCAGCTGGCTGTTGCACACCCAGGCTTTGTCACAGTTTCCTCGGAATACCCTCCCCCAGCCATCTGATTGCCAATCTAGCTGAAATTGCCTCCTGTGCCATGCTGGGTGCAGGTGTGCCCATCTGAGTCAGAGCTCCTGGTCCAGTTATGGTGACCACAGGCCTAAGACCTTCCTCAGCCATTTCTTGAAATAGCAGTGTGGAAGGGCCTGGGAGCCGGGTGGAGCTAGACACATGTCCCGACCTACTTCGCGGCGTGTGGCCTGGCCTCAGCTGGCTTCCCCATCTGAGAAAGGGTGGCCCATGCTTGGCATCCTCTCTGAATGGGGAGGGAGGCCGCACACCTGAAGACCTGGTGGCGGTGCTTACTCTTGACAAGCTTTCCCCAGTGCCCTGCAAGGGTAGGGAGGCAGGCTGGCATGGTCACACGGGGGTCACCCCTGTCTTACAGTGAAGGCTGGGAGCAGAATGGCCTCTACGAGTTCTTCCGAGCAAAAATGCGGGCCCGAAGGAGGAAAGGCCAGGAAAAGAGGAACAGGTGAGGCATCCCTGCCATCTCCTGTGAAGTCACCATGCCTCCCTGGCTGCGTCAGGTCCCGAACCAGACACACTGTCATGTCACGTGCTAACACATCACCCCACATGCCCTAATACGGGCAGCGGAAGCCAGGTCTGGCCTCTGCCTGGGTCTTGGGTCTGGTTTCCTATGATAATGGAGCTGGGACCTGTTCTTACAAGCCTGAGTTGAAACTTGAAACACCAGCACAAGAGAAGTTTGCTGTTATTTATTCACCAAGCTGTTCAGGAACACCATACTGTGGTGTGAATGTCATGTCCATGCTCTGACACGCGCCCCTAGGGTCCTCCCAAAATCTGGGGTGGGGGCGGTGGGCTCAGCCTGTCAGGGAGCTGGGAAGTGCCAGCTCTAGCTCACCAGCTTTTCCCT